TCTGAATGATCTATAAACTTTGGAAAATATTTTAGAATAGTCTATCGTATAAAATTTTCGTTAGTTTTGATAGAAGAATTAACTTAGAATTAAAAAAGAATAGTCTTTTAAGTTATAAAAAAATGACACTATAATCCCAATAAAATATAATAAATCTAAGAATACCTTATAGAGATAGATTAGTTAGAATTTGTGATGAAATTGAGTAACTAGCTCAATTCGAAGAAAGAAACCTGGCAAACTTAGAACAAGAAGCTTTAGATGTAAATATTGAAAATACAATAAGAGTTAGAACTCTTAACTACAAAATAAAAACAAAAAGGAAAAGAATAAATACACTAAGAAATACTATTAATATACTTCTATCGGCATAAGTAATGAACAAATAAACTAAATTAATATGTATTTAGTCAATACATTAGGTAAAAGTATAATAGATATAGAAGATACAATTATCATTGATAAGATTCTAAAAATAGAAACAATTAATGAAAATACCTTAAGAAGAATTAAAGAAATGGGAAAATTCCTTTCTCAAGAATTTAATTCTATTAAAGAAAGAATAAACGATGTAAAAAATTCTAAAAATTTGAAAGAAATAAAAAAAAAAAAGGTCTATTAAAGACTTAAAGACTCTAATATTGCAAGTAAGAGAAATAGAGATAAAAAATAGAAGAAATTTTCAAGATATTAAAAGTAATTGCTAAAAAATTTGCAATAAAAGCTTAAAGATGTATAATAAAATAATTTCATAACTAGAAAGTGATATAGATAAAAAATTTTATAAGATCCAGGCACAACTCAAGGATCTACAAGACACTATAATATCAATCTGTAGTAGGCAAAATATTATAAATAGAAATGAAGGATTTAAAATAATCCCTAAGATTTTCATGGAAAAGCCTAAATCAAAAGGAAAAACACTCTTCATGTTAAAAACCCAAGAAAAGTTAAAAGAACTTGAACAAAAATTCTTAGAAGAAGAAAATTTAGAAGAACTAGATAATCTGTGTAAACATATTACTATAACTACTAAACAATTAGACAATATGAAAATGAATACTCAAAATGAGGAAATAGAAGAGAAAAGTGAAGAAGAAAAGGATGAGACACATCCTAATAGAACCCCAATAGAATTTCCAATGCCACCTAGAATATAATCTAGCATAAGCCAAAGCTATAAAAGAAATAGAAATCTAACACATGAAGTGATATATGATAAAAAGAGTAAAAGATTTGGGAATCAATCTAGACTTGAAATGCCAGTTAGAGTCAAAGAACAGATAATTAGTACTAATGGAATTTGGCTAGATCTAGATTGTGTTACAGACCCAAAGAAGGTCATTAGTGATTGGGCCCAAGTTGCTTGGATAGCCATCGCAAACAAAAATTGGAATGCCTTACAAGCAGTTAAATTTATTGAAATCACCTTTAAAGGGATAGTTCACGACTGGTTTGCAGTCTAAAGGAAGAAAAAAGTAATATTATTATAAGTGGAAATCCTACTTCCGAAGAAGTTAATGAAAATGAAGCAATTAAGACATAATAAATAGATTCGAATAAGCCATAAGGAGAGAATTCTTAGGAGAAACTTGGGAAGCAAATCAAGGAAAAAAGGAGGTTGGAGTTGGAAGAATAGCAGTATGGAATCTACAGAATTTAGAATTATGTAATCTTTGTGAATTACATCAATACATTTGCTTGTTCTAGAAATACTATTATAAAGCTTCAAATCATGGAATGACTAAAGGCCTAATGGAATTGTTTTTTGGAAAAATCCCTAATCCTTGGGGAATAAAATTGGCAGAAGCCTATAGAATATATGTAGAAGATAAGAAAGATACTTTAGGATTAAGGATTTGGTTCGCTAAAACCAAAATTAATGAATGGTTCCTAGAAACCTATAGCCAGAACAAACTAAGAAAGAGTATGAAAAAAGGATTATGTTGTCCTAAGAATAGTGATCCAATCAAGTTAGGATGTAGTAACACCAACTATAACAAGAGAAGCAAGAAATTTAGAATTAAAAGAAGTACTAAATAAAGGTTTAATAAGAACAAATTTTCTAGAAAGAAAAAGAGGTATTTTAAGAAAACCAAAACATCAAAAAAGCATAAAAAGAATCCTAAGAAATGCACATGTTGGTTGTGTAAAGAAGAAGGGCATTATACAAATGAATGTCCTAAAAGATACAAAGGAGAAAGCACCAAAAACCTAAAAATTTATGAAGTAGAATTAAGTGAAATAGATACTAGCTCTATAAGTAGCAAAGAAAGTATATATGAAGTGGAAAGTTTATACACCTTTAGTAGTGATGAATCAGAATATTGAAGAAGGAGAAGCTTATTCTGAA